TTTTGAAAAAGGTGCCACGCATCCCTACCTTTGCACGCCACTGGCTAATCCGATAGGACTAATATTCTGTTAATTATGAGAACCCCCAATACGCAAAATGTGTACCAAGTTTGAATCAAATCTACTCGTGGATAGCCGAGATATGTCAAAAAGTGTTTATTTTTTTTTTAACTTCAACGCCCTGTATCTCCAAAACAAAGGCTTTCATAAAAAAAAAAATTATAGAGCAAACTACACTTAATTTTTGATAGGGAATACATTCTTGCATTTTCCAAATTTAAAGTGAAAACACCCTGTATATATATATGAGTAAACTATTAGTATGTCAGTCAAAAATTAACAAATATGACCCTTTATTCAGTTCAAGCTTTCGAGTACTTTATTGTCTCTTCCTCAGGAACTCTATAACGGTTACAATATTATAAAAAACTTTGAAAGCAACAATAAAAATTATGCTTACAAAAGTTGAGATTATGTTCTATTCAAGATAAAGTTCAAACATATAACTTACAAAAATAAAAAATTATCAAGTTTAGAACAGTCTCTTGTTATAATCAGTTTGGATGTGGTTTCTTTGTTTAGCAATGTCTCAAATACTTTAGTTATACTTTAGTTAAGGATTCTATGCAACGTCATTGAAACCAAATTAATGCTAATTGTAGTATTACTTTACAATATTTTCTAGAACTAGTTGAATTTATTTTTGAATCCCCCGTATTTTTTTTAATAATGAAACACATTCTGGGTATGCCTATGGGCAGCGCCATGTCTCTCCCATTTTGGCTCAGTACGTGATGGATGATATACTTGTAGAATGTATTAATCTTTTAAATTTTGATATTCCTTTTATTAAAAATTATGCTGATGACATTATACTTATTGTTCCCTTTCATCAAATTCACGGTTGAAGAAGACGACAACAAAAGTGTTCCGTTCCTTGATACGAAAGTTTTCAGAACAGAAAACAGTCTTCTTTACACGTCTTGGTATACGAAACCTGGGGCATCAGGACGGTTCTTGCATTTTGGGTTATTCGTACATCACATTCTTTCTCCTTCGCCTTCTGTTCCAAATGATGGGTCAGACAGTACTCACCTTAGGAGTAATGTTGTTTATCGTAATTCAGCTTTGCCTAATTTTACATATTTTTCATTACCTTATATAAAGTCCATAACATGGAAATTAACAAATATTTATTCGGATGATAATAACACTGAACTAGCATTTAAGAACAAAATACTTATTAAAAATATTTTTTCTAAGCTTAAGGATGAAATCCCTTTATTTCATAAATCAAATGTAGTGTATTCCTTGTAATGATTGTCAAAAAATTTATATTGGTCAAACTGGTAGGAGGCTTAAAGATAGAATCTTTTCACATAAGAGCGATATTAGGCTCAATAAAAATTCATGTGTGTTGTCAAATCAGGCTAATAGTTGTAACCATGATATTAATTTTAATGATGTTAGTATTACATTTTCAGAGAATAATGTAAATTTCCTTGCAATGTGTAGTATTTTTCAATGTGAGAACAGTATGAATAAACGTTATGACATTGATAATTTAAGTATCATGTTCACATATTTGTTAAATGTTAATAATAATTTATCTAATAATGACTTTAGTCAATCTAGCTTAGGATAAATGTGTTTCAAAATTTAGCGTCAATTTAATTGTTTCCGTCTTTTTCTAAATTATTATATGTCTTTGTTCTATGGTTTGTCTCGATTGTTTTTGCTCAGAGATAGTTAGAAAATATGTTTGAGAAGAATTTTCCAAGTTTTATTGTAAATAAATTTTATCAAAAGTTTTAATCAATGGTTTTTAATAGTGTTAACATTATATTTTCTACATATTCAACATATTATGACTATTTATTTTCATTTCTTAAGTAAAAATAGTCGTTTCTGTTATAAAAAATGAGCTTTTATTCAAAATGATCTTGAAAAAGGGTCAATGTCAAATCCAAGGTCATAAATTCACAACCTCTGAAGCAGGTGGTTCTAAAAAAAAGTTGACTTTGAAATGACCTTGGAAATACTGGTCAAGGTCATCAAGAGGTGACCCGCAACAAACCAAAAAATAGTGTAACAAAATTTGAGAGCTGATGATTGTCGTTAAAATAGCAAAAGTTCCCTCTAAGAGACTTTTTAAGACACTGCTGACGTTAGTTGCCAGCAATGAGTTTCTTTAATATAACACTTGAAACGACGTTCATTGCTTACATTGCCAGCTAGAATATTTTCGCGGTAATGAATGTCAGCAGAATGTCTTAAAAACCATACGTTAAAGTGCGTTCTAAGGATAAATAAAAAAGTTGAATTGTAATTCGTTACAACTGTTAACAAAAACATCGCCAAACTTTTAGAATTTTATTTCAACATCATCAAATACACGATTTAACATTTATTTTGAAAAATTTAACAAAATCTTAGTTTATTAACAACTGTGGCAAAATAAAAATTAACTCTTTGTAATTTAGCTTTCAAGAAGTGTTATGTGATATATTTTAGGGGTAATTTTATAGGAACTTTTTGTTTTATTTTGACAACTATTACCAGCCTGTTTGTTACACACTTCTTTTTATACCACATAGAAGCCATTAATAAATATATTTTAGGACACGAAAACGAGTGCATTAAAGAAATCTAGTCGATATAGAAGTCGCTCCCTTTCCGCTTCTTCCACGGACTCATACAGCTCCGGTAAAACAATGTACAACTACTAGGTATGTAATAGTAAACAATATTTTTTTAGCGTCTTGTACAGGAAGTAGTTCTGATGAGGATGACGTATCACCTCGTGAAAAAGTGCAAAAGAATTCTTCAGGGAGTTCTGATTTTTGTGTACGCAATATCAACCAACATGCTTTTGGAAGACGTGAGATTGATATTGCGGAACAGGGTAATTTATGATAATGATAAGCAATTGCTTTTGCTAATTTTAAAAAAATTGTAGAAATGCCAGGAATAATGGCCTTAAGAAAACGAGCTACAGATGACAAACCCTTAAAAAATGCCAAAATTGTAGGATGTACACATATAAATGCTCAGACGGCTGTTTTGATAGAAACTTTGGCAGCATTAGGAGCTAATTTAAGATGGGCTGCATGTAATATTTATTCAACACAGGTAAATAAGGAATTGCTATATTGAAAAAAAAGATCAAAAAGGCAAAAAATGTTTAATATAATACTTAAAAAAATATGGAATACCAGAAAATGAACATAACCGAAATACCCAGTATTAGAAAAACGAAAATTTAGACAGTATCTCTAACACTGACTAAAATCTATTGAAATGACAGATTGTAAATAGCTAAGATATAGGGTATTAGTTATGTTGTAGCCCTGAAATATTCTAGATAATAACTTTTTGAGATTAGGGTTCGTTTATCAATTACACAGGCCAACAAGGAAAAACCAGAAAGCAGACAATACGGGTTTTGAAGGGTAAAGATACTACTTTTCAGAGATGTAATTGATTTTTAGAAAAAAAATTATTCGCGGATGTCATATAACCTTGAATATAGCAAAAAACCGCCTTTCTTCGGAGACGTATTTTCTGTTTTCTGGGCTTTTCCTTTTTTGAAATTTTGTCGGCGTCTGTTATTAGTTAACTTATCTTATTTTTTATATGGACACTGTAAAGTTGTGGTTGAGGTTAATTTTAAGAGAAAATTATTGTTTCTTGCTAAAGATAAGAAATTAAAATGACAGATGACCTTAAGGCATTAACACATGATTGATAAATCAGCTGTTTATACGATTTTCTTTCAATTAATCAATTTTGTTTTTTATTTAATTCCAAAAATTGTTGAGAATTAAAGGACCCAATAAAAGGCAGAACAGTGTTGTTATATTTAATTCTAAAATTTATCAATAATAGAAGCGTATTCCTAGCTTCTTAACATTTATTATTTTTTTGTGTTTTATATATAGAATCACTCATTTTTAGTTTGTTTTTTATCTTTCTTTGTTATATACATGGTGTTGAATCATGTGGGCCATGTAAAGAAAATATTTTTAGCTTTACAGGGTGTTCCATTTCGCGTGGGCGTTACATAGCTTTGTTATTTTAAATAGAACACCCTGTATATTATTGCATTTTTGAATTACTTGGTTAAAATTAGAAAGAGTTTATTAAATGTACATGGTGTTTAAAACTTACCGTTTTCGAGATATTCAGTTAGAAGCAGTAACAGTTAGACACCTGCAGTTTTCACAGTTCGTTTTGGCATAAATTACTCTATCTTGTCATCTATGAGTAAAATGTGTACGTTATTCAGACTAGGAAATACTGAGGCCTACATTTAATAATCTTACGAGTTGAAAAACTTTTTTTTTCAAATGGAATGACCCATATTAATTGTCATGGGTGAATGCAAAATTGCACGGCTGATATAAGATTGTCCATACTTATTTCTAACAGTTTTCCAGAAAATTCAGGTTCCTTTCTAAAGCCCGAAAAAACTGCTTTTCCCTCACATTTTATCAAGCTTGGGACTGTCAGTGTCAATGTTTACTGGCATGTTTAAAAAGTAGTTTGATAAACAAAAGTAAACTATTAACAACAACTAAAACAAGAACACAAGGAAAAGAATACTTAGACCGCAGATTTACATGAATAACTCGAAGTGTCCTCCATTTTGATTAATAGACAAACGAATTCGGTTTTTAAAAGACTGTTCAACATTGATCAGCCTGTCTGGCGTAATTTCTTGAAATGCTACCGTAATGCGCTTTCACATATCTTCGTCCGGAGTTGGTGGTGTAACGTAAACATTACTTCCCCATAAAAGAAGTCGCAATTTATCATATCTGGACACCTTGAAGGCCAACTCACTGGTCTCTCGCGCTCAATCCATCTGTTCGGAAAAGTTTCGTGTAAAAACTGACGAACCGTAGCAGCATTGTGAAGTCGAGCATCATGTTGCATTCTTCGAAGTGTAGCTTAACGAACTTAATATCTTGTACAGAGACGAACAATTTCCTAATTTAGAAGTTTAAAAAACGATAGAAATATTATGCAAGGAAATGGTGTTATCTGAAACATACAAATTCATCTGCCTTGTTTTAATAATTTCTGCAACAAGTATATCTGTAGAAAGAATATTTTTGTGTCTTAAGTCTTAATTTATTAATTAGACTATTATTAAGACTTAATAATATAATAATAATATAATTTTTTAATTTAGGGCTATTGGCAAAGACCTTGTAACGTACTTTTGTGTGTTTTGTTTGGAGGTGACGATCGCTTCAGACGTTACTTGTGGACGCCCCGGTAGACTACCAAATCTAAACGGAATTTTAATTCGCAATTTCGAATTCTAATTTACAATATATATAGGCATCACTGACGTTCCTGTTTGGGCGCCTAATTTTGTGACGACCCTTGACTACTGTTTTATCGGCAGTGGTGGTCGGCAGCCGGCGGCGGTGAGTGACGTCACAGGAACGCACTCCGGATTATAATCTTTTTGTTCGGTTAGTCTCGGGCGCCAGTTTCCCTATCTTTTACGTGGGGGAAACTCCACGTGAACCCTACCCTCGGTTTAGAGTAAGTACTCGGGATAGCTACAGTGAAGAAAATTTAACTCCAGGGATCTGTTATATTTCTCTTACTTTTAATCAAAGTAGTTTTCTGAGTGTAGTGTTATTTTACTTTTAAAATGAACGAACTTATCAGTGTAGGTCACAAAAAGATAGTAAGACTTTTTACTGATCGGAATTTAACAATCATATCGGCGTTGAGAATGGATACAACTGGAAATATCTTTACTAGATTAATTTTATATTACTAAGGCCTACATAAATTGAAACAATCAAAAGTAATATGGATTCAGCTTACAATTTTATAAACAACAAAAATCAGAAATATAAAAATAATTTTACAACTGGTGTGAATAAAATAAAATTGGTTAGAGCAATTATCTAAGACGGAATTACAAATACCTATCCGGTGTTTTCGGTGCTGTAAACAAATACAAAACTAGCACATAGTCAAATATCAAGACATAAAAATCGGTACGGTGGGAAAACGCAGTATTAGACGTTTGGTTTATTTTTACAATAAACAATCTAATACTCTAAGAAACGGTACGCCAAAATATATATTCGGTTTTAGTTGCGGTCGGTGCTAGAAAGGAAAAGAAAGTTAGAAAATCAGAGTAGTAAATTATCAACAAATATGCCGGTCCCAAATGACTCTGCAACAAAGAAAAATAAATTACGGGTTACTCTAATTCTATAAATAAATATCGTTAGCGGTTTCTAGCAAAGCAATGGAAATTATGCGGAGTTAATAACAGGCAAGGAGAAAGCGAAGCAAGCAATACACAATGGCGTAAATAAGCAAATGATAATCGGGCACAGGAACAGTTTGGTTGACAGGAGGCAAAGTATATTCGAGTGCACGTTCGGACGCGCGGCCGGTGACAGATTTCTCCTGGAAGCGGTGTTATTCACAGCCAACTCCCTGGGTCTATCCGTTGGTACGGCTGGGACTTAACGTCTTTCGCTGGCGATGTTATTCATAGTCAACCAGCAGTTTCAGTTAAGGTACCCAACTACGTTCATCAAAACGAGGGCGATGTTATTCACAGTCAACCCGTCGCCTGACAGCGCCGTCAACGCACCACGTACTGTATACGACATATTTCTCCTGAAAGCGGTGTTACTCACAGCCAACTTCCTGGGTCTATCCGTCTCGGCACGGCCAGCACCTAACGTCTTCCACTGGCAATGTTATTCACAGTCACCAGCGGTTTCAGTTAATGTGCCCTAGCTAGATTCGTCAAAACGAGGGCGATGTTATTCACAGTTAACCCGCCTCCTGACAACGCCGCCGCCGCACCGTCCAGCACTCAGAGTTCAAAACTCGGTAGGACTTATGCAAATACAGGACAAGTAGAAATAGGAAAATGCAATTTGCTTACTTATTCTGGGTCGTTACTCCTGGTGGCTAACTCCTGGTAACGGTTTCAGGTCCTCGGGGTGGTCCTGAGGGTGGTGCTGGAGCTCTTCGAGTTCAAGATCTGAACTGAGGATTTTCGTCCAGGAAAACTGGTTTTATCGCCTCGATCCCCTCCTGACTAGAAGAATTTGTAGTGGGATCGTGCGCACGGTACTTGTCGGAGTAGGGCAAACGGACGGTTTTAATCGGCGTGCGGATAATTGCTTTTAACTAATTTTATTAATTAAGAAAAATAAATAGCGAAACCCTTACACAAAATTGGAAATTAATACTGGTTCATTTCAACCTCCGCAATAAAAGATGACGTGGAAATTTATTCCTATTTATTATTTGAGAGCTGTTTAATAAAATAACCAAATAGTTTCGTATTATTTTTCTAAAATCTGAATGAAAATCCTGCTCGTGAACAACAGTTTTTCTATAATATATATTTTAAATGCAACTAAAAATTTCCATATGCATTTAGTCGTTTGACCTTGAAAATTTAAAAATTTTTGCCTTCAAGGCCTTCTTGACGCTGTTATGTAGCCTTTTTCGGACTTTAGAAAATAACCTTGTTTTTCTGGAAAACTGTTAGAGACAAGCAAGGACAACCTTATATCAGTCTAAAGGGCATTCAATTTTGCATTCACCCATGACAATTAATATGGGTCATATCACTTGAAAAAAAAGTTTTTCAACTCGTAAGATTATTAAATGTAGGTCTCAGTATTTCCAAGTCCGAATAACGTACACGATTTGCTCATAGACAAGATAGACAAATTTATGCCAAAACGAACTGCGAAAACTGCAGGCTTATAACTCTTACAGTTTAGATGCTATTTAGCCTCATTTAGAGAGCTTAAATCGTGTTTTTTCTCAAAAACAAATGAATATATCGAACGGTAAGTTTTAAACACATTGTACATTTAATAAGCTAATAATAACCTAATAGGAAGGAATTCAAAAATGCAATAATATACAGTGTGTTCCGTTTAAAATAACAAGGTTATGTAGCGCTTATGCGAAATGGAACACCCCGTAAATCTAAAAATAGTTTCTTTACATGACCCACATGATTCCAGACAACTTTTATTAAAACCAGTTTTTTACAGAAGAATCCCTCTTAGGTGAAACACACTCTCTCTCTCTCTCTCTCTATATATATATATATACAG